CCTGATCATTTTAGTTGCCCTCCCCTCTCCCACCCTCTCTCTCCCCTCTCCCATCTCCTTTTCCCAGTCTCCCCCAGTTTTGTTCAATAAAGACAGATTCCATTTTGGAAGACACGTTATCTTTATTTTATACATCAAGAAGAGGGGCTAAGGAATGGTAAGTGGAAGGAGGTGAGGGAGGAATGGGGTACGCGCCCCCGATGGGGAGGACTGGGCTGGCTCTGCAGGCTTCTGGGGGTAGAAGCTTTCCTGCAGCCCCCCAATTGTCCCCTCTCCCCAGATGGCAGCCTGCGGCAAGTGCAGCCGGTCTGATGGCCGAGTGCTGTGATGTGCCCAGTGTGGGCACTCAGGGCACTCCAAGCCAGGACTGCTTTGCAAGCGGGGCACCCCTAAGAACTGTCTGTCCGGGGTGGAGGTCGGGTCCCTTTAAGCACAGCCCTCGGCTAGCCTGAGGCAGCAGCTCCACGCTCTAAGTCCTCCTCTGATGACCTGCCGGCACTGCTTCCAGCCATCCTTAACCCCGGTTCAGGGTCCACTTAATGTGGACATGCTAGTTCGAATTAGCAAAACGCTAATTCGAACTAGTTTTTTAGTCTGGATGCGTTAGTTCGAATTAGCTTAGTTCGAATTAGCGCTGTAGTGTACACATACCCTGTGTGTGGGAGGAGGGGGAGGAAGGGCGGACTGTGATCATTTTGCCCCAAGGCACCTGTTAAGGGAACAGGGCAAAGACTCTGGGGACGAAAAGCAGGAAAACTTGTGGTTGCAGAGGGGCAGGAAGTTTGAACCGCGGAGGAGACTCTGGGGAGGAAAAGCAGGAAAACTTGTGGTTGCAGAGGGGCAGAAGGATGGATTCTTTAGGATGTCCAACTCTGGGAACTCATGGCAGAGGGTGGGGGTGGGATCCCTATAGGCTACGATCTTGGTCGAGAGTTCAGCAACAGCTGCTGCTAAGGGAAGGAAGAAGGGACTAACCAGAGTCCAGAAGGGCTGGAATTTGAGTCTCGGAATAGAATGCCAAAGCCTGTTCTGTGACTGGCACAGGTCCAGCATGGAACATTGATGTTTTCTTTTGGACCTAGATTACCCCAGAAAGGATGGACCTAGCCAGAAGGTCCCTAAAAAATGGAGTCACTGAAAAATCAGGAGGGAAACTGAGGCAGGATGACTGCAGTAGCATGCCACACCAGAGCCTGCTTTGGAACAGCACCTTGCTATGTTAACCCCATCTTATTCCCTAGGGGATAAAAGAATCCCTTTAACTGTTATTTGACCCACTATAATTGCAGATATGGTTATCTTATGTAAAATGTCAAATCTCCCTTTTAATTCCTAAAGACTGGAGATCCTTGCTCTGCAACAAATTCAGCTACATTTCAATATATACTTAATATAGTCACATGTACTTAAAGCTCCGCCTCTCACACCCACAGCACTCTGTGCAACATTTGTGAGCGATGGTGTAGAAATAATCATATTCTGACCTGGCATTCAGAAGTGCAACAAAACATTTCACAGTTGAGGAGAGTGATGTGGGTATGTGAGGAAGTGGGTGTGAATTTGATATAAGTGTTGAATATTCCTGTAAGGAGCGTATCCATGGAGATGTAGCATGGCTAAATCTCTTTCCTGATTCCTTTTGCTTAGCTTTGTAGAAGAAATTTTACAGGTTAAACAAATGGACTTTAGATGGACTGAATATGGCAATCCTTTCTCACTTTTAAAATAATGCAGGTGCGGGCCACAAATTTGATGCAGCCTTTCTGAAGATTGCCTCAATCTTCCGTTGTGCTTTATTGATTTGCTGTTCGACTTGTTCTGGGGATGTGCCCATTTCCACCAGCAGGTGTCACACTATCACCGTGTCAAAAGCAGAACTAGACCAACATTCAAAGAAAGCTGATGCAGCTGTTTTGTAAGCTGTTTCCTCCCCTTTGCTGCTCACTCTGTGCCTCCGGGAAGGGTGTTAGTGACACTGGCACTGGAAATTCTACTTACTTTGTAGTCATGAGTGGGAGGGGGGAAAGGGAGAGTCTTTTTTCCCAGGATCTGTTGCACTGATACAGCTACTGACTCATCTGTTAAGGGAACAGGGCAAAGCTTCTGCCAGCTAGGCTTCTTTTCCATTAGTAACCCTTTTTACAGCTGAGGGTGTGCTACGAAAGGAATCACAATTCCATTGCTGCTGTCTTGGGTTTTGTCTCAGCCCCTTCTAGTTTGGGTCTGCCGCTCCTTGGTCCTGGTCTTCTAACAGCTTCATCATGCATGCATGGTATCCCCATCATGTAACTAGTGTGACACGTCTTAAAAGACCATCCCCCATTAGTCCCAGCTAGAGCAAATACATCTGCCCCTTGCAACTCAAAGAATGGACCAACCCACTGGTACTTGAGCCTTCCTTCTCAGTGTTTGCAATAAAAGCCTGATTTTCTGCTGCCAGAGAAACATGTGTAACCCACACACTTCCTAGGGGTGATGCACTGTCTCAGCTAATGACTCAGAGACCACTTACAGAGAGAAAAATGAGTCTGTGCTACAGCCTTAGCTAAGAAGCAACAGGCTGTTACCTCCCGTGGTCGAGACTCATACAGTAAGCTACAGAGGTCCAGGGTTTGATTCTGCCTGTTGGCATGATACATGTCCTTGGCTTTATCAGTGAGGAAGAAATATAGCTCTTTTGTTATTGCCTGCTCCTGTACACAGGCAGACATGACATTTGGGCCTTATTCTCTCTAGGGTAACTTTTAAAAAAATATCGGCAGAGTTCAGCTACAGTGCTGTGAAAATGTTGGGATACCTATATGGATGAGCTGCTACAGTTGTCTGAACATACTGATTAGACCTGGTGTGAACTGGGTTACTGAAAACAGTGGTAAAAATACCCCAGTTGTGTGTGTTCCCTACCCTCTACCATCATTCCCTCTGGAGGAGCTACAGTAGCAGAGAATACGGTATCTCACTTTCCCATTGTAGAAGAAAGCAAAGGAGAATTCTGAGTCATAATGCTTGCCATGGAAGATTATAGCTTTATCCATTCTGTGAACAATAATTTATTGACATTACAATTGCTGGGGGAAAAAGGCAAATAATTTTAAGGCCAGAACCCTCATGAGATTTGTCAGTACAATATTACAGTAGGCAGGAGACTTTAGAGTAGGTGTGTGTCTTTATTTTTATTCCTCTGTCTCTACTAGTCATGCCTGCCTCACTCCCCAGTACTGAGGTTTCCCTGCCCTCTGACTCATCCTTTGTTTCTGTGTCTCTACCAGGGGGGATTTCATTTCAGTGCTTTTTGCCTCAAAGCTGTTTTCTCCATTTCCCCTCATCCAACTAAAACACACACATAATCCGTGTATCCCCTACCCCATCTTGTCCCACACCCTGGCCACTTGTCGCTCTGTGTCTCTCTGACCTGGCACTGCCCCTGTAACTAATGCCCTTTGCACGCCTCCTAGTCGAGAGGCTGGTGCCTGCATCCCTGCTCCCTCCTCTCCAGCTCATATCCTGTGTGGTGCCCCCTCTCTTGCCTGGTTGTTACTGGGTGCATTGCCACTCAGCTGCTTGGTATCCTGTGTATCTCAGCCATGCCCGTTCCTACCTGGCTGGCTGATACACTGTGTGCTCCGCCCTTCTCGGCTCTTTGCACGCCTCCTAGTCGAGAGGCTGGTGCCTGCATCCCTGCTCCCTCCTCTCCAGCTCATATCCTGTGTGGTGCCCCCTCTCTTGCCTGGTTGTTACTGGGTGCATTGCCACTCAGCTGCTTGGTATCCTGTGTATCTCAGCCATGCCCGTTCCTACCTGGCTGGCTGATACACTGTGTGCTCCGCCCTTCTCGGCTGG